TTCCACTGGGGTTTAGCGGGTGTGTTTATAAAGAGACGAAAATTGTTTGGGGACTATCCCCCACGTTCTAGTTGAGATGGTATAACCCAAGAGGCAAAATGACGCTTGCTACTGTTGTTGCGAGTTGCCATTCGTTCTACTAAACCATTAGTCAAACGCCATCATGTCTTCTGTCGTTATTACACAAACAAAAATCTCTTTACTGTTACGAGTGTTAGTGACTCAATATGGCTACGCTCGTGAAAGCAATACAACGAACTCAAACGCGTCTTCGTTCAATGTTGTCAACTAATATCCGGATTAATTTTAGGCAAATTTTCCTCAATTCTCCGGAGAAATTTTCATAAAAAATTGAAAAACCCGGAATTCCGGGAAAATCCGGAGGACTTTCATCTCTGAAATGGTGACCGACGAAAGCAATAAACAAACAAACAAATAGCAGTATTTGTTATAAACTTGGACGGAAATACTGGCAAGTCAACCAAAAGAAGAAGCCTACAAGGTCAAAAATGTAATCGCATGTTAAATATAGTATTTGTAGAATTAAAAAAAAAAATGTTTGATTGTACTGGTTTGTACCACAGAGCGCTGAGTTTTAACTTTTATTTTATAACTGTACACTAAAATGCTGTCAAAATTCTACTTTTTTTTAATTGGTTGTTTTTTTTTTTCTCCATCAATTTAGCTTTGCAAAGGGACTGCCATTTTCAGCAATACTTTGACAGTTTTACACTTGTTAATCTTGCAACACAAAGAATCAGAATTACAATTTTGTCATTGCAGAGTGATTAAAATTTAGTCGATATCGCCCAGCCCTAATTGTAACTACCAGGGAAATAAGATTATTTGTCTATCTTTCAGGTGTGGAGCGAAGTGAATCAATCTGTACTCGACTATGAAAATCGGGAGTCAACCCCCAAGTTGGCCAAGCTCTTGAAGTTGCTGCTATGGGCTCAAAATGAACTTGATCAAAAGAAAGTCAAGTATCCAAAAATGACAGACCTCAGTAAGGGGACCATCGAGGAGCCAAAATAATGAAAGAATAAAATGGACATGTTTCCGATATCTATTTGTACCCCAACGAAATGAGATATCATCTTTGTCCACCAAAAGTTTCCCCTTTTATGTTGAACTGGACTGATGCTATTTTAAAATGACCTCTCACTCAATGGAACATGTTATTTTATTTGGTGTTATTATGTAGATATATGGAATGAAATCAGTATTTTTTTGTTTCATATTTACATGTACACTAGTTTTTTTCTGTCTGTTGGCAGGGAAAGTTGGTATTGGAAGGTGAATAAAGCCTAAATTAGGTTGTCAGTCTGCGTGATCATGCTTCCAGTGAAAATGATTGGCTGTGTGTGCATGTCCTCAACAAAAGCTTCCACGTGTCAGCAATGAGACACAGGGATGTTTCTCAATGCTTGTTTGACTGTAACTTTCTTGTTAATGGCTGAAAAGGTTCAGGCACCTGCAGACACAAAGACACACGGATGCTATGATGTACATGAGTGAAATAAGCTGCTCTTTTACTATATCTGCTGTGCTTCCATTTGCTGTTATTTTATTTTGCAATAAATGCAAGTTTTACAATTTTCCCAAAGCTTGGAGTGTTCGATAACAAGGAATGAACTAACTCAATTCTGATAAGGTGACTCAGAAAGGTTCTCAACACTTAATTTAGCTAAGGCATATATTTTACACTGGAAGAGCCTCGCGGCAAACCACCAAACATCATCATTCACTCACAGAATGGATACTTAGGTTAATTGTATCTTCTGCCGGTCCAGATAGTGTAGTGGTACTGGCGCCTGACTTGTGCGTGGGCAGCGTGGGATCTGTTCTCGCTCACTGATGATGTGGGTGTGAATGGTTGTTGTCTCTATGTGCCCTGCGACTGTCTTACAACCAGTCTATCTATATCAAGCCCCAGGCAAATCACTATAAAAACCTTTTCCACTTTCGCTTTAGAAATATTTTCAGGTGAAAAAATAAAAACTACACAATAACCTGGCTGTATAAATATACTACAGTGGACGTCACTTGGCAATAGCGACCCCATGGAGACAAAGACCGTGAATGTCAAAACATAATTTGCAATATTTTAAACATATAAGTAGCTTGATTTGCTGATTGATACATTAAATTAGTTATTCGAAATAACTTTTTGTATTGACTGGGTGAAGATATGCCGTTATCTCCCTGCATTGTTATTTGGTGAAACTGATGAAATGCTTGGAAGAAAAGATACTCCTTCATTTATATAAATAACGGAAATTATGTGTTGTGAATCAGCCATATTTGGTGTTTACATTCGCCTCGACGCCTTGAGGTCGGAAATGGGACAATCCGAGTGAGATAAACTCGATTTCCCACCTTTCCGAATGCAGCATCACATACCCTCAGGCTACTTCTGTGTGTTCAGGGAGTCAATTTCAACTCATTACACACATGCTGCACCGCAGCATCCTTCGCATGAGCGCATCCGCAGCGGCTCTTCGGCCCAAAAGTACCCCCGTGAAGACGACTTACAAAGTTAAAGTGCACCAGGAAGAAAGAATCGGCACGAGCTGACTTCCTCCCAGATTTGAATTGCTCACAGACGTGCGATCGGAATTTTGTTTTTGTGGGGAATCACTTCCTGGTTGTGCGCCCTCTACCGACCACACAAATACGTGCAGAGGTAAAAACTGACACGTGGATTTCTCTTCGGTGGGGCATCAGACAAACAGACTCCTTCGCTCAGTTTCCTGTCGGCCGTTCCTGAAGCTTTTTCAAGGCGAGAGATATGTGTGTCCGAACATCAGAAGTACGCCGTGTCTTCCTGTCTGCACTGCCGGGAAGAAATTGAAGTCGACGGTCGAGGCTGCCGCTAACAGAGACAGCGCGTTGAATGGCACTGATTCAAAAACATGGCAAGAACTATGGTCCAGATTTGCTCAGTCACAAAGAGAACCATCCGGCCGACAAGACTGGAGTCCCTGGATGTCATAAGAAGTGGGCCGAAAACAACAACTGGTCAAGGTAACGTTTACGCATAAACAATTACAGTGTCGAATGTTTACTGTGCCCCATCAAGCTAGTTCCCAATGTTAACTCGAAAGTTAAATCAAGAAACACATGGTTCCACTCTGAATTAAATGGCACGCAATAGTACTTAAGGCCCGATGAGTTGTTAATGTTTGCTCCTAAATAAATGTAGTTAACTGACTTGGAAGGAGACGCTCGCTTACCCAATATGCCTCCTCTATGTGTGAACTTTGAAGACGACTGCAGCTGAACATGATGCATTGATTTAAATTACGTTTTCCAACCTTGATTTTTTTTTCCCATTAAAAAATCTCATGGCGCACCACCACACAAAAATGTTCCAAAAAATACTGCATACAAAAATGTTGTCTCAATTTACTAAAAAAAAAAAAAAAAAGTTCATTTAGATAATAATTTTAGGATCAATTGAGTGGAATTGGATATTTTCCACGGGACACCTTGTAAAGTGTTTCACAACTTTGGTAAGCTAAGGCATGTATTTTACATAAGGCGAGGTAAGTTTATTTGCAGAGCACATTTTACATCCTGGCGACTCAAAGTGCTTTATATAAAACATTAAAAGCATCAAAACACAACTAAAACAGTTGATTATAAAGTGGACATGAGAATGATATCACAGTGCAGCTATAAGGAATTCAGACAATCAAACAGGGTGTGCAAGGATTCATTCAAGTCGGCGTCAAACAGAAGTCTGACTAGATAAACTTAAGAGTTGGAGCAGACCGATAGTTCTCTGTAAATTTGTTCCACATATTCAGGCTCAAAATTTTTCTGTATATATGGAAATATTTTATTTTTAAGTATGACTGTATATGGGGCGAAAAAACTGAACACATGTTTAGTTCTGACCCTGGGAATAGAGAACAGACCTATTTCAGATAACTCGAGAGGTTGGGGTGCATTTTAAGGGATCAGCAAATCAGAAATATATTCAGGCCCCAGACCATTCAGTGCTTTATAAATCAGCAGAACTATTTTCAAGTTGATTCTTTGGCTGACAGGAAGCCGGTGACTACATTTGCATGCAGTCAGTATTCGGGTTTTGATCAAAATGTTGGTTCCTGAAACATTCGGGATAACCCTGTTTACACGTATGAGCGGACAGAGTTGCTCCCGCATTCGAAGAACTCTGTTTAAATGGTAACCCACGAATATCGTGACGCAGGTACATGTCATTTCTGCTTAAACAAGTTCTATTCACGTCACTCACCACAGGAACAAAGCAGGTTTCCTCCTCTCTCCACAAGTGATCTGAATCTCAGTTTTGCTGTGATTGTCCACTTCTGATTGTGTATTTTTGGCAAGTTGGCGCCAGACATACAGGCTTATGCATATGTATAGAAGTGTCTGTATACACAGTTACACAGTGTCATTTTGACCGACAGAAAATAATGTGAAAATGTTGCAAATAAATCAATGTATTCAATTTAGGCTTGCTATGGTGATGTTGCCCATGTAAAATTATTTCCTGTACAATAAAGACCAAGATTCCTTGCAGATAGAGCAAGAGCATGTGCATAACAGAAACCAATGTCTCTCTGAGTGGAGGTATTTCGATACACGTTAATATGACCAAATATATGGGTCAGAAAAGGGGAAACACATGGGTCTAGTTCAGGTTTTGAAAAACCTAAATAAGAGCATATTCAAAATTTTCTCATGTTTACGTGGCCTTTAAAAACCTGAATACTGCCAATATTCAGGTTTTATAAGGGTTATTGACTACATGTAAACATAGTCAGGCTATACAGATCTGATTAGCCATTTAAATATTCTGTAGAGCGCTTTGTTGCAGCTGTTATGAAAGCGCTCTATTAATGAGTACTATTGTTAAATATTGCTGTCAAATGTACAATATACAAAAGATTTATTAAGCAATTTAAAATAAAAGAGCATTTGCTCACAAATGCTTTCTATGGATAATTGTTCTTTGAAAAAAGTGCAGATTTACACTATTTTTTTTAAGAATATTGTCAAATGAATTGCTATTGAGTTTTTTGAAAAAAAATATCAAGATATTTATTTTTTGAGCCCATACTTCCAACCCCTAGGCCAGAGTCAGAGTCATGATCCCGGTAATAGTTGAGCAGCAGGATTATCAAGCAAACAATTTCTTTTCGGTACAAGCAAATTACACGGGCCGTTGAACCCATGTCATGTGTTCTGCTGTTGTGATGATGCATTCACGGCACCTCAATGAAATGTGCTGATTTTAAACTGAGCAATCCTTCCTGTGCAGGCCGGTGGCAAGGGTGTGGACAGTGGTGCTCCTGCTTGGTACGTGCCTCCTCTACTGTGCCCGGGTGGCGATGCCCATCTGTGCGGTCAGCATGGCGGAGAAGTTCAACTGGAGCAAGAAGGAGACTGGCATGGTTCTGGGCAGCTTCTTCTGGGGTTACTGCTTCACACAAGTGTTTGGCGGTTACGTCAGTGACCGGTGAGTGTCATCATTTGTTGACATATGAATCCCATTCAAATGAATGATGGCTCACACAATAAAGTCAGAGTTACAAGTTGATGCTAATGCAGTACTTGACTGTGTGCTCAAGGGTGGGAGGAGAAAAAGTACTCCTGCTCTCTGCTGCTGCCTGGGGCTCCATGACAGCCTTCACTCCCATCTTAGCTCATTTTTGCTCCCAGCCAATCTTCTCAATGACGCTGGCCCGCTTCCTGATGGGCCTTTTACAAGGTAAACTAGCTTGATTACGTAATATGACACCCCAATAGTCATTGAGATTGATTTAGTTCGGACAACCGGGTGTACCAGAATGCTTCAACATGCAAAAAACTTCCTCCCTTTCTATATTGCCTTATATGGTCACTCGTGTCTCTTCAAGGTGCCACTCATCAACCATGGGTTTTGCCTTAATGTAGGCAGTCATGAATTGAACTTTCTGCTGGGCCTGTCGAATCACCGTTCTTAAAACATGTCCAGTGTTGTCTTTTATTCTTGTATTTATTTATTCTTATACTTGTACTTATTTATTTTTGGGCGCAAGAAAGTCAAGTGAAGTGAGAGGTACGACAAAATGGAACCGGAGGATTGGACCGATCAATCTGTCTTTGTTTTACTTGCCAATTGATGAACTCTCGGCTGTTAGAAAACAACAGTGGCGCGTTTACTTTCGAACTCAGTTTTCGCCAACGTGATGTCATTTACGCAGCGATCCCGACATTGTGTTTAAAGGAGACGTCTATCGTGCTCCTCTAGTCGCCTAGTAACTGCTCCAAACAAGACGGAATGGAACGCTGCACCTCCGGTATTCCAGTGCGAAGGGAGATATGGTTTATTTGATCTGAGAAGTTTTTGTTTGCTTATTTAGCATTGTCTTATGTGATTTCTACCATTTTATGTTTTGCCTACAGCTACAGTTATTGTGAGTAAAGTGAAGATGAGTTGCATAATCAGAAAATGCTGGGAAGAAAATTAAGAACTAAGCATTTTCTCTGATGATATTGCACAAGTCGTGTAGAGTTACGGTGGAGTTTGCATACCTCAGTGAAGATGTGGTACACTCGATCTCTCTTTGGAAGCTCCAATTACAATATCAAACACAATGTGCATCTTGTCTCGATTAGGCTTCTGATTCAATTTTTCTTTGTGGGATTATTTGCGTCCTGTTGATTGCAGGTGTACATTACCCTTCTTTGGCAAGCCTGTGCTCTCAGAAGGTGCTGGAGAGTGAGCGAGGCTTCCTCATGAGCACCGTGGGCAGTGGCTCCTACCTGGGGTGAGTCATGTCTCGCGTAAATGCATATGTTGTGCAGAGGGGGCCGTCGCAACCCGTGCGCCTGTGTGACATTTGGCAGCACCCTTGTGATCGGAGGGGCTGGTTCCCTTATGCTGGACCTTTACGGTTGGGAGAGCGTCTTCTATGTGTCAGGTCTGCTGGCGGTAATGTGGGCCTACTGCATGTGGAAATACTTACTCAGAGGAGAAGGCAAGTGAGGTTTTTTTAGTCTTATCTATGGTGTCTGGTGTCCTTTCTTATCGGTTGAAATGAGTTCAATGCCCCCTCATATGCAAACCTGACGGGGGGTTTTGTACTCGCAGGGCCAATCATCACTCTGGAGTCCTTGGGAAATGGTGTTCCACAGTCCAAACTGACCAAAAGGCATTGGTTACGGCTCTTCAAACAACCGGCAGTCTGGTGAGAACATGAGAAAGAGATCATGTCGAGAGAATATATGTTCAAGTTGAACTACTGCCAGCTTGGTCCGTCTTTCAGAGTCAACGGTTAAGTTGGGTTCAGCACCTGAATGGCAGCAACATCCTCCTCTTAAAATCTTCATCTGGTTGGGGTCACCAGTCAGAAGCTTAGCCCTTTTCGAGTTTCTGATGATAAACTAATGTCTCACCTCATGTTTTAATGATGGAATACGAATCATATGCTCCATTTCACGAGATAAGGAAAAACCTCAGTTTTAATCATGGTCCCAATGACATCAATGCTTTAGTGATTATTTTTTTCTGACAGAATGCTACAGTTTTCTTTAAGATAAAATCCAAAATTGGCAGCCAAAGCCAAATTGAAAGAAATTGAAAATCTAAAATGAAGTAAATTAGTGCAGATTACCACTCAGTGTCAGATTTTATGGGGTTCTTATTTTAAAATTCAAACCAACAACATTGTTTAATTGATTCACAGGACTCTCTTACTCAAGACCGTTTTCAAACACCACATTATTTGGAAGGTTTGTTTTTCAATTTTCAAGCAATTTCTCTCCCGTCTGATTAACTTCATGGTGTGCCAGAAGATTAACAAATTAACAGATCAGATAACACTGTTCAACAGCAAACTTGAATGAGAAATGCCTTTATGTGTCCCTAAACGTATCTTTGGGGCGGCACGGTGTTCGACTGGTTAGTGCGTCGGCCTCACAGTGCAGAGGTGCAGGGTTCGATTCAGGCTTCCCGGCTTCCTGTTTGGAGTCTTCATGTTCTTCCCCTGTCTGTGTGGGTTTTCTCCAGTTACTTCGGTGTCCTCCCACATTCCAAAAACATGCATGAAAGGTTAATGGAACACTCTAAATTGTCCCGAGGTGTGAGTGTGAGCGTGGATGGTTGTACGTCTCTGTGTGCCCTGCGATTGGCTGGCAACCGTTCAGGGTGTCCCTCACCTACTGCCCGAAGACAGCTGGGATAGGCTCCAGCACGCCCGCGACCCTTGGTAGGATAAGCGGATCAGAAAATGGATGGATGGATAAACCGTGTCTTTGACACTGATGTGCTAGTGAAAAAACAAGGGCAGATTCAGAAAATGTTTGATCAAAAAATGTTGCAGAGATGAAAGTCCTCCGGATTTTCCCGGAATTCCGGGTTTTTCAAATTTTTATGAAAATTTCTCCGGAGAATTGAGGAAAATAAAATAAATAATAAAATTAATCCGGATATTAGTTGACAACATTGAACGAAGACGCGTTTGAGTTCGTTGTATTGCTGTCACGAGCGTAGCCAAATTGAGGCACTAACACTAGTAACGGTAAATAGATTTTTGTTTGTGTAATAACGACAGAAGACATGATGGCGTTTGACTAATGGTT